CAAGTTTACAGCACAGTGGAAAAAAACCCAGGTAGAAGAGATCGTTGTTTTCTTCCTGCTTGATGTCAGAGGGTCAAGGCCAGGGCAGTAAGCCAGGACTAGAAAACAGAAAGCACTTGGACTGGAAAACAAGTTGCACTTGTAGGCTGACCAGCAACTCACAGAGACCCCATGGGGCTGGGGCCCAACAAACACCTATACCATGTAGTTTGAAGACACGAGTTCATCTACTTTTGCGGGGCCAGCCTGACTTTGTCATTTGGTGATCACTTTCTGCTTCTGACTCCTCAGCCTGCAGATTTCAAGCCAAGGCAATAGACATGGGTTCAATCATGTCACAGCCTCCCCACAGTTGCTTACTGCCAAACCTGTTTACATTTATGTGTGGGTGCATGTACACACACACACACACACACACACACACACTTTAGGCTGCAGACCAATATAAGAGTTTGAGAGAAAAAGCTTCTGGGAGAGTCAGTCATGCCTTTGTACTTAGGGTCAGCAATAGACCGACCCTGTAAGCAATTGTAGTCTCTCCAAATCTGGAATGGTACAGGAAGCACACAACTTGGGGACCTGGAGAGAGCTCAGGCTACAGCAGATAGTCATTGACTGGGACACTCAACCAGACATCTATCTGGTGGCCAGAGATCCCCACTGATACAGTTCCTTGTAGAGGGATCCTAGGGGAACAAAGGGCATCAGATGCAACTTTTGAACACTTTACTCTAGATCTGCTGTGCAGGAAGTCCAGGCTTCCCCAAGCAGTCCCGCTGACTTTACACACAGCCCGTTTGGGGGAGCTGTGCCCATCTTAGACTAGAGAATGATTGATCCATTAAGCTAGCTTCCAGGTGAACCAGGAAGGAAGATGAGATCACCAGGTAATTTCAGCATGATCTGACTGTAGTCAGTGGGTAGGGCTTTCCCTGTGCTCCCACAAGCAACAAGGCACTCTCAGGCATCATATTAAACATTAGCTGAGAAAATGGAGACTCCTAAATATCAAAAGACTCTCCACAGTAGATGCTCCGAAGCAACAGTGCAGAACCAAAGGCTGTCAGCTCCATCAATGATGAACAACTTCTGAAGCCTGCCTCCTAATTTCAGAGAATGAATTTACCTCCACTCCACTGGCAGATTAGGATTAAAATGTGAGTCTACAAGCTTGCCCTCTGTTCACCCACTCACTGCCAGTGTACATCATGTAGACAAGCCAGCAGGACAACACCGTTTCTATCTTCAAAAGACTCCACTCCCCTGTGCTCCAGACTCACTGCCCCACACAGAACTTCTTTCCATCCTTGCGCTTGGGTTTTTGTCAGCTTGACACAGACTAGGGTCATCCGGGAAGAGGGAGCCTCCATTGACCAGTGGAGAATTTACTTGATGGCTGTGGAGGGGCCCAGAGCACCAGGAGTGATGCCATCCCTGGGCAGGTGGCCCTGGGTAGTACAGCAAAGCAGGCTGAGCAAAACAGTCAGCAGGGCTCCTCCATGGCCTCTGCCTCAGCTCCTGCCTCAGGTTCCTGTCCTGATTTCCCATGGGTACGGACTACCAGCTCTAAGATGAAGTGGGCCATTTCCTCCCCAAGTTGCTTTTGGTCATGGTGTCTTTATTGCAGCAATAGAAAAACTATTATCTCTTCTGAGGATTTCCTACCAGATCCCAAGACACGCTACAAAGAAGACTTCATTTTAAAAAAATTACATTTACTTGTGTACATTGGGGGGGGGGTTGTTGGCAGATACAGATGCATATGCCAAAGTGTGTATGCAGAGAGACAAGAGGACAGCTTGCAGGAGTTGGTTCTCTGCCTCCACCATGTGGGTCCTGGGGATCAAATGCAGGTGGCCAGTGATCTTACCCTAATCTTTTACCACATGGTCCAGGAAAGCTGAAACCTGGAAGCTTCTCAGACTCTTGCTGCCAAGACCCCTGAAACCTGTGCAGGGAGCTCCAGGGCTGCAGCTTTCATTACCCATGCCGCCATGGGATTTTCGATGATAAGGCTGCTTCTGGGCCACCCCTGCTCCTGTGAGCAACCCCTCCCCCACACCCCTGTTAGTAACCCCAGGAGACCCACTGGTTACTTTGGTCTGGAATAGGTTTCATTTCTAGGGTGAGTAGGTGTGTTGCATCTCCCCAGGAAAAGTCTCACACAACAGCCATCTAGTGTTATTTTAATCTGCTAAACATGGTAGGAAATTTTAGGATGCCAAAGGATACCTCACAGCCTCTAACAGATCTGAATGCGACCTTAGGGAAATGAGGCTGTTACAGATGTCAGTCATTAAGGTGAGGTCATGCTTGAGTAAGATGGGACCCTGATAAAAAGGAACCACAGACAGACATGCACACTGAGACGTTGGCACAGGCTGCAGGCGGACGATGCATCAGAAGCCCAGCCAGCCTCCAGCAGCCATCGGAGGCCCGCCTCCAGCAGCCATAGGAGGCCCGCCTCCAGCAGCCATAGGAGGCCAGGCTCCAGCAGCCATAGGAGGCCAGGCTCCAGCAGCCATAGGAGGCCCGCCTCCAGCAGCCATAGGAGGCCAGGCTCCAGCAGCCATAGGAGGCCAGGCTCCAGCAGCCATAGGAGGCCAGACTCCAGCAGCCATAGGAGGCCAGGCTTGCAGCAGCCATAGGAGGCCAGACTCCAGCAGCCATAGGAGGCCAGGCTCCAGCAGCCATAGGAGGCCCGCCTCCAGCAGCCATAGGAGGCCAGGCTTGCAGCAGCCATAGGAGGCCAGGCTTGCAGCAGCCATAGGAGGCCAGGCTTGCAGCAGCCATAGGAGGCCAGGCTTGCAGCACAGGGCCTGACTTGCAGCACGGGGCCTGTGAGGTAAAATCCATTCTTCGGAGCAGTGTGGCAGTTTCTTTCAGCAGCCACAGAACACTTACTGTTACTGTTTCCTTTTGCTGTTTTTAAGGATTTTTTTCCCCTCCATTTAGTTTTGATTTTGTGTGTCTTAAAGTTCTTTTTTATTTTTATTTTTTTTATTTTTATTTTTTTGGTTTTACAAGACAGGGTTTCTCTGTATTGTTTTGGAGGCTGTTGGTCCAGCCCAGCCTCGAACTCACAGAGATCCGCCTGCCTCTGCCTCCCGAGTGCTGAGATTAAAGGCATGTGCCACCACTGCCCGGCCTAAAGTTCTTTTTTAAACAACTTTAAAAACTATATTGCTATTGTATGTGTGCATGGGTGCACCACAGTCAGGTACAGTCAGAGGACAACCTGTGGAGCCAATCTGTCTGTTGTGTGGGGGGTGTGGTGTTAATATAGGCCTCAGCTCAATTCCAGGAGCTCCAATCTCCTATTGTTTTTTTAGATGGCGGCTGGTTACCTCCGGATGGCCTGGCCACAGTGAATGACTTCTGCTTTGCGTAACAGTAGACCTAGGCCCCACACCCATCATGAGAGCTAATGGGACATGCCAGGGGACCAGGAAGACTTGCCTGAAGACTGGCCAGACGTGCCATTACGGAAAGTCTGGGGGTTTGTGTATGTGCTTTCTAGACTGTCTCCTGCCAGTAACCACACCCTCTCCTGCTTTTAGAAAGCTATTTAAGAGGATGTTTGAATAAACTGTGTTCTCCAGTATGGACTGAGAGCCCTCCTGAAATGACAAGATGTCTCTGTCTCATTCTTAATGCTGTTGGGCAGCTAGGACTTCCCTGATCCACACTCCCCGACTCAGGGTCGGAGCCGGGGCTGTTCGGCTGGTTCCAGGCACAGCCCCAAAGACATCAGTCTAGAACAGATAGCTCTGGCAGCCTAGGACTGATACTGGCCAGAACCCGGCACTGTCCACCTTTACAAGTGTCCTGCACTGCTGGCTTGCAGAACAAGGACCATTGTCAGCTGAGCCCTCTCACCGGACCTTCACGTGTTATTTGGATGTTATTTTCTGTGTTTGGGGCTCACTTACACTTTTTCATCACACTTGAAAAAAGAGTCGTCCCCCCCTTCTATATACTAAGTCACCAATAAAGGCCAACAATTCAGTAATCACAGAATTGTGATTTGCTGCACAACCCAATGGCAAGCAGAAGGCACATCTAGACATCTCAGGCACAGATCTTCAGAGGGCAAAAATACCTACACCAAATATTCCCCAAGCTTCCTTTACAAGGAGCTGTGCTATAGGACCACGCAAAGAAAAGTAAGCATAAGGGATACATTCTGAAAAACTTGATAAAAATGCTTAAGGACTCTATTGATGAGTTCTTAAAACATTTAACTTTTATTTATTTACTTGTGTGTGTGTGTGTGTGTGTGTGTGCCAATCACAGTTGTGGAAGCCAAGATAACTTGCAAAAGCAGTTCTTTCCTATCATGTGGGACCCAAAGACTGAACTCAGGTGGTCATGCCTGCCAGCAAGCACCTTACCTAGCTGGTCCTTGTCAGGACTCTATCAGTAATTTTGAAAACAGATGATAAAACTCCATTTGCAAAAGCAGGCAAATCCTTTAAGTGAATAGTAAAAATTTTCAGGAAAACACTATTGATATACCACATACATTCATGTTTCAGTATATATTATATGCATCAAATACATGTGCATTCACAACTGTGTTTACCTCACTGAAGGATATAAAATGTAAACGGAATAAACAGACCACTCTTGTTCACACTGGGATTTCTCACGGGACTCAAACCAAGGCAGTTCTACCCACCAAGAACCCAACATCACAACCAGGAGCAGCAGACAGGCCAGAGACAGACTCTCATTGCCAAGACTGAGTTGGATGATACAACTCAGCCTGGCCACTCCAGGGGCTGATCAGCCAAGTGACAGCATTATGCCACTTTGCCAGCTTGGTCACAGCCAAGGACTAGGACAAGATACCCAGTGGATCTTCTTTGTTTTGTCAACACATCAGAGCACAGGGCTGGCTACCAGGACTTGACATTAACCCCACATGAACCGCATTCTTGCTATTCGGCACCACAGAGACCTTTTCTCAGAAGCTGATAAGTAGATTCCAAATAACACCCTTACAGACATGTTTATTAGAAATTCGAGATTCTTATTTGTTTGTTTGTTTTTTTTAAAACAATGACATATCAAACCACTATGGGGACAGAGGTATTTAAAATACTAAAGCAGAGACAGTGTTTTGATTTCAACAGCCCCCAAATCCTCTTCACTATTCAAATCTGCTCACTACATTTTTGTTGTTCTTGTTATGGTACCTGCAATGGCTGTTTTCTTAGCTTACCTGAAAGCTCCAGGGGGCACTTACACGCTACCTCTCATGAGAAAACTCCAGTTTTCTCTCATGTGAGAGTCACTGCAGGTGGGCAAGGGGAACTGTGGTTAGGGTTAGTCTGCCTCCTCACTTCTGCAGCTAAAGGGATGGGGTCTGTCACTGGACAACAACAGGGACAGAAGACGTGCGGGTTGTGTAGTCTGAGCTGTTACTACTGTAAACTCATAGCAGAAACGATTCAGTTATCACAGAACAAATGGTAGTGATATGGAATCAAGGCTAGACCCTCTCATCTGGTAACACACTATGTAAATTGACTGTGGGTAATCAAGTAGGGATTACTATTTGTTTCAGGACTTGAAAGGGAGGCAGGCACACCTGGTGTAATGTTTGAAATGCTGAATGTTTTCACAGTAACACTGAAAGTCTCAAGTTCATAAAACAAACTGTATGTTGCCTACATGAGCTCTCTGGTGTCACAGGGCTGATGTCAGCAGAAAATCTTCCAGTAGTCTATAGATAATGACACGGTCTCACTCCTTTATGCATGATTCAGGATCTGAGCATTATGTAAATTACCCGTTGCCTTGCAGGAATTTACTTCTTGTGAGTATTCTGATGTAACAGGAAGTTTGACTTATGGCGAAATGTCTTCTTACACGTGTTACATTCATAGGGTTTCTCCCCCGTGTGTATTTTCTGGTGTTCAGTCAGAGTCCAGAGTCGGCGGTAGCTTTTGCCGCATTCATTACACAAATAGGGTTTCTCCCCCGTGTGAATTCTCTTATGCACCGTGAATGCTGACTTATGGCGGAAAGATTTCCCACACTGTTTGCACTTATGTGGTTTCTCCCCGGTGTGAGTTCGCTGGTGCTCGATAAAGGAGACTTTCTGGCAGAAGGTTTTCCCGCACTCCTTACACTCATAGGGCCTCTCTCCCGTGTGCGTCATCTGATGGTGCCGGAGCGCTGACTTCCGGCAATAGGTCCTCCCACACTCGTGACATTCGTAAGGCCTCTCCCATATGGTCCTCTTACGTGCAAAGTGGCGAGAGTTCTCGTGGGCTGTGTGCTTGTGCTCGGGGCACTCGTAATGACTCTCCTTCGTGTCGACTTTTTTCTGTTCACTGCAGTCGGACCTGGCAGTGGGTGCTTGACCCCACTTACTCAGCACATCACCCTTCTCTGCGGCGTGAGTCCTCTGATGTATCGTGAGTGTGGTCTTAAGGTAGAAAAGCTTCCCGCATTCATTACATCCGAAAGACCTCTTGCCTCTGTGGATGACCTGATGTGCAGCGAGAGCAGACTTGGTGCACAGAAACTTGCCACACTGGCGGCATCTGTAGGGCTTCTCTCCCGTGTGACTTCTCAGATGCACGTTGAGGGCCGACTGGCAAAAGAATGTTTTCTCGCACGCGCTGCACTCGTAGGGCTTTTCCCCTGTGTGGATTCTCTGGTGCGCTGTCAGGGCTGACAGACAGAAAAAGGTTTTCCCACAATCCTTACATTCATTTGGCTTCTCGCCTCTGTGAGTGCTTTGGTGTACAATGAGGTAAGACTTCTTGCCGAAGGCATTCTCACACTCCTTGCATTTGTAAGGCTTCTCCCCTGTGTGCGATCTGAAATGCTCAGCCAGGGCTGACTTCCGAAAGAAGGTCTTCCCGCATTCGCTGCACTCATAGGATTTCTCTCCGCCATGAATTCTCTGATGCACAATGAGGGCAGATTTGTCAATGAAGGCTTTCCCACACTCTTTGCATTTATAAGGCCTCTCCCCAGTGTGGATTCGCTGGTGTCGAGTGAGGCTTGCCTTTATACGAAAAGTTTTCCTGCAATAACTACAGGCGTAGGGTCTCTCTCCTGTATGGATTCTCTGGTGTACGATGAGGGTGGACCTCTTAGAAAAGGTCTTCCCACACTCAGCACATTCGTTTCGCTTTCTGTCAGCACATTCCTCTGTCCCTGCAGAGTGGGCTGACTTTTGGAGGACGGGTTTCCCACCCTTATTATGTTCAGAAGGTTGAAGAAATGACTGGATGTTCTGGTCTTGAGTGACACCTTCCCCTCGACACCTAACACCCCTAACCTCACCACATCTGTTCCGTTTTGTCCCAGAATGGCTTTCGTCAGGCTTCGTGTGGAGCAGTGGCTTCTCACACGCGGCAGGCTCAGCAATGACCTTTGTATTTGCTTTGCTTTGCTTTGCAATAGTTTCTTCTGATTTAGTTTTCAAGCCACTCTCACCTGGGTCATATTTATGGAACATTTTTTCTGAAGAAACAGTATTGATGTCAAGAGCAACTGTTTTCACAAACAGAGTGGCTTTTTCTGGCATCGTTTTGTTACCGAAGCCTAAGAATTGCTTCAAATGTTTGTCCTGTATTCCCTTGTTTTTCTCTGAGTTATCGTCATCTTCTGGAAGGGAGGAACGGGACTGACATTAATACGTGAGCTCTGTGCACCTCTGAAATGATAGCGTGTACAAAGGCTTACAGGGGCCAAGTCCTTCAGAGCTGGCTTCCCAGAGTTAGAGATTCAAGTGTAAATAACTCCTACTTTATGCATTTACAGGGAAAACAAACAAACAATAACACAGAGGATGAGAGGAAGGGAAGGAAGGAGGAAAAGCAAATTCACCTATACCATCTCCTAAACTGTGTCAAAGAAGAAAGAAACTGGAGACCACAAGAGCTTTGAACCTGACAGAAACATTCCAATATGGAACAGTCTCCAACATTTCCTGGAAGCATGACTGACAGGGTGACATGGACAAGGATCAGGTGGGAACCTAAGAGAAAAGACACCAGGCAGAGACCAGGTGAAGCAAGCCTCTGAAAGCCAGTGTTCCAAAGACACCAGGAGGAAGGGGGGCACTGGAAATCTCTCCAGTGACTTGAGAACTTTGGAATTTGTACAAATGCAATGGAGAATGGAAAGCAAGAGTGGGGTGAGTGGGGATGGATTGCAAGGAAGAATCAAGGCCCTCGGTGGGCACAGTGGGAAAGAATGAAGAAATCTGTATGGAGAAGGAGCCTGGGTTCTGTGGATAGAATGTATACAGCCAAACATTTTTATATGAAAACATTTATTTGGGGAGAACACTTTAGTATATACAGCATAGGAGCTAGTTTCCTCAATCACTTCTAGAGCTCTAGGTCCTAGAAGATTCCAGAAAAAAATCATATAGGTGCCAGCTGTGACCACTAACCAGCCTGGGACTTGAATTCTTTGGTATTTACCTGCTCGGTCTTCACACTTCCCTGCATGGTTCTGACTTGGCAATTCTTCCACTGTCCAAGGCTCTTTTCCTTGCTCCAATTTTAAGATCACTTCTGGTTTGCTAACACGGAACCCTGTTAATGAGAAATAGTATGGAACATGGGCCAAGTTCTATGAACTTCAAGGACTCAATGATGGGGAAACTGAGCAACCAAGATGCCCAACAAGAGCTCAATGAAGCCGGTACAAACGAGCGAAGGGCAGGTACATGCACACACACGCATGTGCATGCAAACTGTCACCATCTTCTCCCTTGCTGTTCAAGGAGAGAGAATTCATTTCTGATACTTGCCATGTTCTTGTGACACGGAAGAAAGGCTAGCTCTGGGTGCCATGTGGAGACGGTACTCACCCAGTGAGATGAGGTTCCTGTAGGTCTCCAGCATCACGTCTCTGTACAGGAGGCGCTGTGCAGGGCCCAGACACTGCCACTCCTCACGGGTGAAGTCCACAGCCAAATCCTTGAAGGAAACTGATCTCTGAAAGAACATGTTTCATCTGAGATAATCAGACCAGAGCAACAGCAAATCTGTGGGAGTATCAAACATAAGGAGGGCACTGCTATGGCCACTGTTAAGCTTTGGGGAGATACTTCCTGAGGGATGAAAGAATAGAAACTGCCCACTATTTATGAACGAGCTTTTTAAATATGCAGAGTTTACACTGTGCCCAGACATTCCCAGATTACTGACTCACGCTCAGTATGGATGATGCTCTCAAGGAGCACCCAGTATGACAAGTGACACAAGCAGAAACTGCACTTCAGGCAGGAACATACATACTAGATAAAGGAGGCCACAAATGGTCCTATTTTGTGCCATCAGACTTCTGTGAGATGATTATTTCAGTATTCATATAAGGTGTGTCTTGGCACCGAGTGTTCACTAAGACATACACTGAGGTAAGTCAGAGCTACCTCTGCAGGAAAGAAACCTAAGGAGTAGACAGAGCACATGGGCGCCCTGTCCTACAATCAGTCAGCTTTTTGCTACACTGCAACACATCAGTAACAGTCTTTCATGTACAAATGACCCATGTGTTTACTTGGAAATCATAATGTAACTCTAAGTTAACCAACATGTTAATCCCAATAACCATGTGAACATCATTAATGGTTTGTTGTTTTCCCACGCTTCTGGCCAAGACATGAACACGAACAGAAGTACAGGGGCTGTTGGGTGGGGCTCCTTATCCTCCACCCTGTAGCCCACTAGAGTGAACAGCGCAAATCCAGAGGTGTTTGTAAACACTTAGAGCAGCAGGACCCAATGTACATTCTAGAGGCAACACTGTAGTGTATGGGTCAAAGTTGGCCACAGTAGCTGAATCTGACCAGTGATTCACAGTTTGTTCATGACTTCTTCAGGCATCAACTGCTGCATCTAGAGTTAAAAGAGACTGTATCCAAACAAAAATGTAAACAGTTACTACCTGGTACCCCCCCCCCAAGAAGTTTGCTGTTCCATAACTTGAAAACATGGGAAACAACAGCTAAGGGCCAATCAAGGCCATGTGTTGCTGGTGCATGCCTTTAATCCCAGCACTCGGGAGGCAGAGGCAGGCTGATCTCTGTGAGTTCCAGACCAGCCTGGTCTACAGAGTGAGTTCCAGGACAGACTCCAAAACAATACAGAGAAACCCTGTCTCAAAACAAAACAAAAACAAAAACAAAAACAAAAAACCCACCACCAACAAAAAACCACCATACAAACAAACAAAAAACAGCTAGAAGGGCCAATCGAAGGGAGAAAATTAGGATGCCCTTCTACAGGGAGTGTCAGTAGGTGTGAGATAAAAGTACTCCACTACTTGATGATCGAGAGGGACAGACCACATGCAGGCTGGCGGCATTATGAGCAGGTTGTACGGTATGAGCAGAGCCGGGCATGTGCCGACATCAATGCCGATGTTAGGAAGCCAGCAGTAAACACCTTCCCCTACACACCAGCGCAGGAAGCTCGGGCACCAACCCGCAATGCTGACTCAAAGTGTCTGTGGAGAGAAGGGGCAAAGACAGCTACCCTGGCTGGTGGACGTTTGGTTTTGGAGCTCAAAGGGGTGAGAATGGCAATGGGAGATGGAAGCCGAAGGCAAAGGAGGAAGTCTCTGGTCCGACTTGGCATGAGTTCTAGGTGGCATTGTGAAGGAAGGAACAGGCACAATGATCTCTACAGGGTAGGGTTAGGTAAGAAAGGAGCAGATGAAAGAAAACACAGATGCAACAGCTGTGTAAAACACACAGAAAGGGTCAACCAGGAGGGAATGAACTTGTCACCTTCAGGAGCAGGACAGAGGGAGAAAACAATGGAATGGAGGATGGGCGGGAGAGACAGGGCAAGGGCATTTCACTACACAGATTTCCATGGACGGTCTGACTCAGACTGCAGCAGTGTGCCCCCCCCCCAAAAAAAGCAGGTAAGTGAAATAAAACAAGATATGGAGGAGAACCTGGCTGGACAAGGAAGTCAACACAGCGTAGGTCATAAGACAGACAGTTACAAATAAGGACAACAGGCAGAATGTGTTCCACAGGGCAACTGGCCACTTAGAGGTCACGAGAGACAAAGGGCCATCCCAGACTGCAAGAGGCCATGGAGACATGACAACCAAAGGTAACTAACCCTGGACACCTGAGCTGAAGACGGCATGGTCTGCACCGCTGTCTGTAAAATAACAGAACTGGGCTGGCGAGTTCTCCTGGTTCTGATTACTGCACTTCAGTACTGACAGGCCCAGGAAGCCAGGCAAAGTGAGCACAAGAACTCTGTTACTTTCCTGTACTTACGTTTGTCTGAAGTCATTTCCAAGTGCAGTAGTAACACATGAACATCCCAGCTCTGCAGAAGCCTACATGCTCCCTGTGCAGCAGGCCTGACACACGCTCCCCCTCGTGCACAGTTATCGCAGGTCACTGAGCCTTTCTTCCTCATCGGTCACACATCTGCACACATGCGTCATGGCCCCCTTCCTTCGGGGTCGCATGCCCGTCTCCTAGAAGCAGTTCACTACCCTTATTAATTACTCTCTATGAATCTCTCCTCCAAAGTAAGCCCCCTGGTAACAAACGGTACTTTATAATTTCCATTATAACCTAGGCAAGATGTTGGCAAGCAGAGAGGATGGCTGCAAGAATGTCAGAAGGAAAGGCCAGGGAGAGGCAGATGAGGAGTTGACTTGTGAGTCTTCTGTATACCAAGACAGACTCGGCTGCCCTGAGCAGCACGTAGCCCACAGCAGAAGAGAGCATGCTCGCTGTGGAAGAGATTGAATGGTGCTCATGAAAAATGACAAAGAACATTCTAGGGACTCAAGTCAACTCTGTAAGCAACCCTCTGCAGCCTGGGAAGAAAACAAAGGAAAAACAAAAAGAAGAGAACGAGAAACCTCACTGTAAGGGGCACAGGGGTAGGGGCACAGAGAGGAGTGGCTGATGGCCTCACTGTAAGGGGCACAGGGGTAGAGGCACAGGAGGAGTGGCTGATGGCCTCACTGTAAGGGGCACGGGGTAGGGGCACAGGGAGGAGTGGCTGATGGCCTCACTGTAAGGGGCACAGGGGTAGAGGCACAGGGGTAGAGGCACAGAGAGGAGTGGCTGATGACCTCACATGTAGGGAGCCCCACGGGTGATGTGCAGACAGACCCTACACTGATGCAGAAATGGAGACAGATGCTCTGCTCCCTGAACACATCACCTGGAGGATCGAAGGGAGGAACACAAATGGGTTCTACAACGAAACGGCTCCGCCCGTGGTCTCAAATCACCTGAAGAATTAAGGAATCATCTAAACAGTAGGGAACTGGTTCAAAGTAAAATCTGGTGCATGATCACAACTACCCTTTTGCATTGGGGTTCCGCACGGCTGAAACCTGCTTCCGGGGTCACACTACACAGCCAGGCACAAATGACTGGCTGCTGAGTTCAGTGGGATATTACGTGGCTTCTGGCAGGGGGACACGGGGCAAGGGATTGTAGATATGTGGTGTGTCCCACAATGTGTGGAGGCACCCCAAGTCTTATGTGACTTTCTAATGTCCTGGTCACGCCAGCGGCAAAGCTGTTTATAATCACCTGAGCCTTGCCTAGGTGTCAGTCACGGGAAAGCCACTCACTCCTCCACCAGTCTGAGCTTCACAAGGGCAGAGGTGTTAGCTTTTGCCAAACTAGAGGTTCAGCATATGGTACAGTGCTTGATACAGAACAATATGATCGGTAGACAGTGCGTGGTACATAACATGACTGACACAAGGCGTGGTAGGGACCAAAGAAGAGTAGAAAATGGCCAGGAAGTAACTGGTCTTGTTAAGTCGAGCGAAGGACACTGAACTTTTATCCTGTACGTAGTGTGGACCTGCTGCCACAGCCCTGGTGCAGAGACATTAGATGGGCACTGCTAGCCTACAAGAGCAAACAGCGCACTTGAGAAAGAGGTGGGCAGGCCACCGAGAAATCTATCGTGATAATTCTGAAGACAGAAACTGAGGCAGGGCAAGTATACTCATGAGACCTTAAAAAGGCTTGACATTGCCCGTGACTCGAAATAGGGAGCAAGAGAATTAACACATACATCCTTTTCTTTTTCTCCCCTCCCCCTTCACACTGCAGCCCATAGCGACTCCCCTGCATTAGCTTCTGGAGTACTGGAATTTCAGGCATAAGCTGTCACGCCTGGTTTTGTGCCTCATTTTCTTTTCTTTTCTTTTTTCTTTTTTTTTTCTTTTTTCTTTTTTTTTTTTTTTTTTGGTTTTTACGAGACAGGGTTTCTCTGTATTGTTTCAGAGGCTATCAGTCCAGCCCGGCCTCGAACTCACAGAGATCTGCCTGCCTCTGCCTCCCGAGTGCTGGGATTAAAGGCATGCGCCACCACCGCCCGGCCTCATTTTCTTTCTAGCTTGTGTAACTGGAGGATTAGTCACACTGGCAGGGAACAACCAGGAAGGAGCACAATGGACAGACGGTCAACATGAGTTTTCTGCACAGGACTCTAAGTGCCTTTAGGGGACCCTCGCGGAGAAGTCCAGCAAGAACCCACTCCGAGGTTCTTAGAGGCAGGAAGATTTCAGAGCTCAAAGGGCTGCAAGGTAAAACCCTAAATGAGAGTAAAAGAGTCATGTGAAGACTAGAAATGGTCGGAAGGGCATGTCAGGAAGGGCATGTCAGGAAGGATGGCCACACTGTCAAGTGCAGCAATGAGTTTGGTGAAGCATGGAGTGGAAATGTCTAGAAATGGTCGGAAGGGCATGTCAGGAAGGGCATGTCAGGAAGGGATGGATGGTCACACTGTCAAGTGCAGCAATGAGTGTGGCGAAGCATGGAGGGGACATGTCTAGTAGGTTTGAAGACGTGAGATCTGATCTCTAATTGTGATCACCACAGAGGCAGTAAACACGAGGTGGGCTGACATCAGACAGTAAGTGAGAGAGTTCTACCATAGGATCTACAATCAGATTGTGCCTGTGATATCTGCAGAGCCGAAACACTCAGGAGCTGAAGGAGAATTAGCAGTTTGAGGCCCATCTGGGCTTTATAGTATCCCCACACACAAAAAAAGCACAAAAGAAAAATAATTACTAAAAAGAAATAGTAACAGGGCCTCATTTGAGGCACATGCAACCCACTTATTCTAAGTTTTATACTACACCAAGGAGAGTAATCAGAAGGCTGTCTATGCCCCTGATAACATATTAGAAACATCTGTAATTAGTAGGCTTTTCCAAGGTGTAAATCACAGGAAACCCACAGCTGTTGTTGGTAAAACTGACTTGGCATCATCTGCTCAAAGATTGTCTAAGAACATGTTTATAAATAAATGATCAAAAACCATGGCAACAGCCTACTTCATATCACTTGGGTCTTTCTTGTACAACTTGAACAAACTTACAGGGATGTGTAATTTCTGTTTATTTCTTTATTTTTCAAGACTTTTTTCTTCTGTGTATCCTTGGCTGTTTTGGAACTCTATGTAGAACAGGCTGGCCTCGAACTCAGAGACCCACTTGCCTCTGCATCTCAAGTGCTGGGCTGCCCCACAATATTTTCTGTTTATTGAGGTTCGCTTTTCTAGTGTTGATCTGATTCCCTTATTTTCCTTGGTGCTGAATTTTATATGTGTCTATCATTTCATCTGAGTGTGTATGGTGCAAACCTAGGTCAACAACCCACTGTCTGAGATGGGAAGCTATTTCCGCAGCGACTTACCTGGGAACTGCTCATTTTCAGGAGCCAGGAATGGTGATGGAAGGGCTGGGTGAGGAGGAATGGGGACCAGCAGACCGGCAGCTCTTACAGCGGCTTGCACACACACCGTGGAAGGAAAGGGCCTCTCACCACTGTCATCCTGGAAGCAACTGCTTCATCCTGGAAGCAACTGCTTCATCCTGGAAGCAACTGCTTGAGGGAATGCCCGCGAGTAGCTCTGAATGAACCAGGGAGAATTTTTCTGTGTGAATGGAAACCAAGGTGTTAAACTGAATTGTTGTCTGACTTAATGCCTCCTTAAAAATAAACAAAACAAAACAAACAAAAAACAGAACAAACAAACAACACTTAGGAGTTCACGTTAGATCAGATCAATAAACTTTAGTATATATATAAAACCTGGAACAGCAGTCCAGCAAGAAAGATCTAAGATGAAGATATTAATTGATCGATTATTTATTTTTGGGGTTACCCATTTTTCTACTAATGCGTTCGGCAGATGAGATCAGAAAACCCGGACAGAAGGAGTGAGGGTTTTAAGATGATTGCCACTCCGCTCCCCACTTCTGACCTAAACTGCAGTTTCATGGAGGCCTCTGCTTAAATGTGGTAGAGTACAAAGAAAAGTCTGACCTGGTAATCAACAGACCAGGATTAAAGTCTTGGCTCTGTCACCAGCAAACTGCCTAAATGGTTAAAATAGTTGCCTTGGTCATTTGAAAAGGTAAGTTTAAATACTTCAAAAACCTTCTCTGTGGGTACACTGTGCCATTCGAGATGATGGAAGTCAATAGCCCCCAGGGTGGTGATGGACGTAGTTTTAGCAACTCAGACGAGACTCTTGTCCGAAGCGATGGAGACCTTTTCCTCAGCCATGGCTGTCATCCCTTCCCTCCAAATGACAGACCCTCCAATGAAGCGCCATTCTGCCCAATCTGGACCTGCTCATTCCCTCAATCCTAGTTCCTCCCGTAAGCAGCCCCAAGGTTTAGCGGTTCAAGGGCATCGCAGGATTTTTGCATGCACACACCTCTCCTTCCCAGGATGCCCGCCCCGAGGCCTGCAGCCCCCTGACGCCCAGCGGCTTCGCCTGGACACCTGCGAGCCTCCGCTGGCCCCGGCCCCTCCGATCCTGCCCCGAGCTCGCTACTCGGTCTTCTCTGGCTCCCGGGAATCCTCGCTTCTCTTATTGTTCCTAAAAGGTCCCGAGGAACAGTTGTGCCTAGGACCAGCGGGAGCCTAGCCTAGAAGAATTCAGAGATCCGGAAGCGTATCCATCGGAGATGGCGCAAGCGCAGAGCCTCGGTGCAGTGGTTCCCACGGTTCTCCAAAAGGTGCTGCAGTCTGTCCGGGACTACATTTCCCACAAGGTGCTGCGGCCTCTGCCCAGCCCATTTCCTCTGAGGCTCTTGGGTTTAATCAATGGGTTAACCATCAGTACAAAAGGAGTGTGAGAAAGAAAAATTACAGACCTGCAAAGAAATCCCAACAGTGTATTAAGAAAACAATGACTGAAGGGTCCTCTCAGAATGCGAAAATAATGGCAAGCGTCCCAAAATTACAGAAAACACAACAAAGATGAATCTGATAGTCTCTAAATATCTTAAAAAGAAAATAATAGTCATACTGGTTACTCCCAGCCGTCTGAGTTTATCGACAGGTGCACACTCTTCTTCCAGTTTTACAGAAGGGGAAATAACAATAACTAATGACAAAATAAAGTATACTTTTCCTGTTATTTTATATGTATGAGAATATTGTCTGCATGTATGTCTCTCCATCATTTGTGTGTCATAACTGGTGTTTGAGGAGGCCAGAACAGAGTACCATGTAGATGCTGGGAATTGAACCCAGGTCTTCTGCAAGGGCAACCAGTGCTCTTAAACAATGAGCCATCTCTCCCTTAACAATATAGTTTAACAGCACCAATTATATATAATGCAAGAAATATAGAAACTAGCCCTTCGTCCATGGGACACATTGTATTCACGTGTACATATTAAAAGAGTAATGCTGTGTAATATGTTTACTCACTGCAGGTTTCTGACACAGTTTTCTGTTGTCATTACTATCAGCACTGAGGTGAAGAGCCAGACTTCCAGCGATTGAATGTGGCTGTGTTGTGATTTTAAACAAAGGGGCATCAGAAGGGACACCGCAGGTTTCAGAAAACCAACCTGTGACGTGCTGGCAGTCAGGTTTATCTACAATGTTCCTAGAGCCTGGGCAAGACTTTAGTTACCTAGTTGCCAGAAATCAAGCAGAAATAAAGAAAAAACAGAGCAGGGAAGCAATGTGGAGAAACAGGTGAATCTTTCCCAGGACCCAGCCATGCCTCACCTCTCAGGCATCCTTGCCATGACTTCAGCCTCCTCAGTTTACTAATAGTGCTTTTAGAAACCATTTGAAATTAGCATTTTAATTATTTTTGAAAGGGGGAGTAAGGAATGAACAAGAAAATTAATTAGAAGATTTGGAAATGAATTAGAAGTTAGCCATATTATGTGTGTGGATATATATATATACATACATATGTATATATATGAAGTAATGGCCAATCACACTATAGGTCAAAGAAGTGGAAAATACTTAGAAAATTATGTACTTTTTTTGGCAGGCTAGCTCAGTAAGGACAAAAAGAAATCAATTTGGTCATGGAATTGGAAAAATGTTCCTTGTCAGGTTGATTAGGGTTGTCATTCCTGCCACATTTCCAGGACACACTCTGCACCCAAATTGGAGAACATATGCCCTTTATTCTAACAATTCCGGAAAATCTTAAAGAAATAATTAAACTTGTGTATAAAATGTGTGGCAACATTCCCAAAATGTTTTGTTCTGATTTTGAGGCAGAGTTTCACTATGTAGCCTGGGCTCACCTTGAATTTAAGATCATCGATGTCCATTAGGAACGGAACACAATGATGGAGCGATGCAGTTTCCCGTAGTGGCCACTAGATGGCACAGAAGTCTCCCCAGCCAACTTTTCCTCGGAGGTTCCTGATGAACTTCATTAGGAAGGCCTCTCTGTGTGAAGTTTCAGTAGCTGAGGCGGTCTTAGTCAAGAAGACCTAGTGACAGGAGCGCCGAGGAAGTTCCTCCTCCTGATACTCCAGACAATGTAACCATCTGCCGTTAATGTGAGTCAAGTAATTTGTGGGGACTCTTGTTTTGTCCAAGCCTCATGAAACTGGCACCTTGTTCTGATGACACTTTTCATTGGGGGACTACCCCAACCTTTACTCAAGGACGCCATATATGTGCTCTCCCAGGCACAGCACCCAAGGACACACCGATTTCCATCGTATGAGAAGAACCCACTAGACAGAGCTTTACCCAACCGGTGAAACTATCAAGATCATCCACAAAATGACGGCCCATCTTTTTCCTGGCCAAGGTGGGGGCGTGTGACCTAAACCAAGCGTGCCATGAGTCTGCACTTAAACCGTAAGCAGGATGGGAGACTGATTCATCCTGACACGGATACTGTAAAGATTGCCCGTGATCCCTGCTACACGGGTCTCCAGGGCTCTGCTGGTCCTGGGCCTTCCTAACACCCAGAGAAACTTTCTGTTGCCAGCAAACAAGGGGCCCCTGTGAGTCCTTCCACACTTCAGACTCGCTAAGATGGGAGCTAAACCTCTGAGACAGCTCTGTGTTAGGGCAAAGGCTAGTCTCCATTCACTGTACACTCACTAACTCACCCCATCAACACCCTGGTGACCCGTTCTGTGCCCAACCCTGCTCAATTACATTAATTCATTTATTTATTATAATATTTTGATTTATTCTTTGGGCTGCATTACAAATTCAATTAGTACTGCCAATAAGTGCACGGTGTGGGGCCATTCATTGGAGTATGGGCAACCTTCCTAGACTCTGAAGAAAAAGGATCCCCCAGTAGCCATCGACTGCTAATAGCTCCTCAGCTAGGAGCGAGGCCTTGTGTGTCCCTCCTCAATCCAATCCAGAATATTGATAGTTTTATTTTGTGTAGGCAACCACAGCTACTGTGAGTTCAGGAGGGCGTGTGTGTGTGTGTGTGTGTGTGTGTGTGTGAAAGACACCATTAATCGCTCTCTTTCCCAGCTCAGTTGTCCTGTGGAACTCAGACTGGAAACACAAGTCTGTTTGTCTAGCCTGAACTTATTCACTTTTTGTTTTTAATACTACTGGATGTACTTAATTCAGAGAAATCATACTAAATATAATGATTTGGTTTTATACCTGAAAGAAAAATATCTAAACGTTGCTTTTTTCCTTACCTCCTTCCTTTTCTTTTCCCTGTGTCTGCATAGTTTGTGTTTGTATGTGTGTGTGCATGCTCGGGCATGATCCTATGTGCACCCCTGGGAACATGCAGGGTGCAGCACTCAGGTAGAGGTCAGAGGACAGCCTCTGGTGTCGGTTTTCACCCTCCCCTCAACTGAGGCTGGCTCTCCCCCTTTTCTGCTGTGTGTTCCAGGCTAGCTGTAATTCTAGCACTTGGGAGATAGAAGTTTAAGGCTATCCTTGCCTACTTAGTGAGTTTGAGGACAGCCTGTGTCGGTATTCAGGCATCTGTACTGGCCTGCCCTTGGGGTCCCGACAGGATACACCCTCAGCTGCAGCCACTAAGAGCACCGCCTGTGCATGTTCACTGTGTTCTCCTTTAAAAGGGCCCTGCCCACCTCCCATCCCTCTCCCTTTCTTTCTCTCCCTCTCTGTTCCTCTTTCCTCTCTCCTGCTTCTCTTGTCCCCAGAGGCTGGTCTCCTCCTCCCCTTTTTATGATGCCTTCCTGTAATAAAAAAAAAAAACCCTCTGCTTGAATCCGGTCACATGGTGTCTTTCTCTCTTGCGCTGCTTTTCTTAAATTACAACAGCCTGGCTACATGAGACCCTATCTCCAAACAAAATAAACAAGGAAAAAAGAAAGAAGAGAAATGATGCCATCTTAGTTACTTTCCTACTGTTGTGACAAAACACTTCCACCGAGGCAATTCACAGAAGAAAAATATTCCCTTGGGGCTTAAAGTTCCAAAGGGTTAGGGTTCATGACCATCGTGACAGGGAGCATGGCAGCAGGCAGGCATGGTGCTGGTGCTGGAGCTGAGAGCTCACATCTTGAGACACAAGCATGGAGCAGAGAAAGCTAACCGGGAAGGGTGTGAGGCTTTTGATACCTCCAAGCCCACGCCCAGCAACATCCTTCAACAAGACCACGCCTCCTAATCCTTCCCAAACAGTTCCACCAACTGAGGACCAAACATTCAATATATGAGCCTATGGGGGCCACTCTCACTCAGATATATGAGCCTATGGGGCCATCCTCACTCAGATATATGAGCCTATGGGGCCACTCTCACTCAGATATATGAGCCTATGGGGCCATCCTCACTCAGATACATGAGCCTATGGGGCCATCCTCACTCAGATACATGAGCCTATGGGGCCATCCTCACTCAGATACATGAGCCTATGGGGCATTCACACTCAGATATATGAGCCTATGGGGCCATTCTCACTCAGACCACTGCAGATGCTAAAGAACCTGTTGTAGCCACAGTAGCAGCGATGTGGTTCATCACCCGTGTATTTGTGGTACTGATGCTGTGAAAATTAATGTGAGCCTCGTGTTTCACAACGGTCACACAGGCTTTGGGGCTAGCAACCCTTACGTTTCCCATTCTGCTTTTCTCTCACACACACCCTCCACAGAGCCAACTCCTTTATTCAGTCTTCAGAACATTTGATCCTCTTTTACTGAATGGACTGTTAACTGACTCTCCCATCCCAAAAGTCAACAAAAACTTGAATTTGTCATTTTGTTATTATTGTTATTATTTACTATGGGGAACTCACTGGCCACACATGGACAACCAGAGGCCAAGTTCATAGCCAAGGGTGACCAGATACTAAACAAATGTGCCCCTTCTCTGACTTTCAAAACTGGGCAGAGTATCTTGTATGCTTATTTACTAACCCTGACGAGTCTAAATGGCTCCAAAGGAACAGGAAACAGTAAAACTGTTTACTTTTATATGTAATAAATATATTCACTTATAAACAAAAACTTTCTGATTACAGTAAATTCTGAGGATTCGGAGACTTCTAAGTCAGAGGAGCGCTGAGGCCAGTCCACAGGCAGAATCTCCGCGTGATGTTACCAGGGCACTCTCCATTTAACGGGAAGGAACTGAGCTGCCCTGGTCCTCCCAAACTTCGAAGCCTGTTTGCTGCACCCACGCCTTCTCTACTCTCCCTCGCCTTCCACTTGCCGTGATTCGCGCACATCCCGCGTGAAAAGCAGATCACAGTTGCCATGGACGATCGTTATGCAGATACGGAAGCCGAGGCTCTAAGATGTGCAATGGCCTACCCAAAGTCACACGAAGGACAAAGAGGAGCCAAGCGACTGAGGTCCCTGTGATTCCGGAGCTCTTGTCCCCTGCCCGGGCTCCCTGGGCTCCCAGGTGCCCATGGTGCAGGCCTGTCTGTCCAGGCGGTTACTCCGGTCATGTCTCCTCTGCAGCCGGCCCTGCAAATGGCTAACCCTCCTGGCTTCCTGGGCTGGGAAGAAGGAGGCAGCGATGGCGTGCCGCAAGCGCCGAGCATAGGCCTGCAACACTAAGGTGGCACCCGCCAGCAGCTGCAGGGCGCCCGCGGTCAGTGCCGCAGTGACTTGGGGCGGCTGAACCTGAGGCAGGTGACAGTCGTGGGGCATGGAGTACAGCTCCCACTGGAAGGAGTGCTGTGCCGAGGCAAACACGCTCTCCACCGGAGGCTGGTTGAGGACGAAGAGGATGAAGCCTAGTAGCGTATATGAGGCCTTCAAAACAGAGAAGAGGATTGAGTCAGAGGTGCCATCAGGTCATTCCCTATCCCTGCCACCTACAGAATGGGTCGAGGGGAGGGGCTACTGTGACTTAGGAGCCAGCAAAGCCACACCCATACAAATGTTACCCTGTTATTCTTACTGCCTTTGAGCAAATATGTGTTGATACTTTGTTTATGATCTAACAAATAAAGCTTGCCTGAAGATCAGAGTGCAAAGCTAGCCACACTAGTTAGCCATAGAGGCCAGGCAGTGGTGGTGCATGTCTTTAATCCCAGCACTCGGGAGACAGACAGATCATCCTGGTCTGCAAGAAACTGATCCAATCTAAAAGAGAAACAGCTCGCACAAAGGTGATCCTAGCACTTGAGATCATACGCCTTTAATCCCAATACTTGGGAGGTGCAGACAGGAGTGATACGGCTGGAGGAATAGAGGAATATAAGGCGGGGGGGGGGGGGGGGGACCGGAGCTCAGTGCAGTCTGAGGCAGCAAGCAGTCTGAGGAGGCAGTCTGAGGACAGGACGGCCCCTTTGGTCTGAGCAGTGGTAGAGGTAAGAACTCTAGTGGCTGGCCGCTCTGCTTCTCTGATCCTTCAGCTTTCACCCCTGATAGCTGACACTGAGTTTTTATTATTAAGACCAATTAGAATTCATGCTACAAAAATATTTTAGGGAAAACTAATTAAAACTGGGGGTGTATCAACCGCCCAGGGGTAGAGTGACTGCCTAGCATGCAGGAAGCCCTGGGTTCCACCCAGTCACTGGATGTACCAGGAAAGGTGGCGCACGCCTTTGATATCAGCACTCGGGAGGCAGAGGCAGGTGGATCCATATGATTCCAAGGCCAGCCTGGTCTGCGTTACCCAGTTCCAGGTCACTCAAGACTACATAGCGAAACCCTGTCTTTAAAAAAAGCAAAACCAGCTCCACCAATCAATAACCAGCGCTTTGGTGTTGTGACGGTCTCGTCAGCTTGGTGGGATTGAGGAACACCCAGGACATCAGCAATGCATACTCTGGGTGTGTCTGGGTGTTTTCAGGGGGGATGAGCTCATGGGGGCTCCGTGCTAATCAATGATTCGATTCGTTGATGGGTCTACACACAAAGGCCTTGTTGGAAGGAAGTGAAAAAGTAGGAGGTTGGGCCCGGCTGGAGGAAGCAGTCACTGGGGGTGGCTGGGGGCTGAGCGTCGCCCTGGCCCCTTCCTGTATTCCGTTTCTCCGCTTTCTCGTTCTCCCATGCCTCCACATCATCTGCCTATGACTCTTAGGCGTGTCCAAGGATGATGACTCAGGCAAGCTGATGGACGAAAGCCCAGCCCTGAACAGACCCCTCCCGCCTGAATAATTCCAAGAGCACCCCTCCCTGCACTTACATCATACTTGACCGTGAGTGTGATGGGGACAGTGGGCAACTTCTGAGCCCAGGCCACAGCTGCCTGTGCCAGGAGGAAGGCCCCATAGTCTGTGGCCACTGTCACAGCTGTAGCGGCTAGGAGCAGTGCCAGCAGCCCCAGCCTTAGGAGACAGCTCAGCAACTCTTCGTGCGACAGCTTTGGCTGGGCTGCCTGGAGCAGCCAGCGGGGTGGAGAAGCCAGCAGATGTGAGGCACCAGCCTGGACCAGCTGCTGAACCAGCTGCCGAGTGGCGTAGATATTGTCGAAGCGCAGGTCAGTGAGGTAGCGGTGAAGGTACCAGGCAGACTCACCCAGGAGGCCCAGCATAAACAGCCCGGTGACCACCCGCTGAGCCCCCAGTACTGCCCAAGCCAGGAACTCCAGGCCAGAGAAGTCCTCCAGGATCTGCTGAGTGACCACGCGCGCGTGAAGACGGAAGGCTGAACCATTGCCCTCTGTCTCAAATGCCAGGCTCCTGCTGCCTGCCTGCCTGGCTGGGCCCAGTGCCTGGGATGCCAGGCGCAGCTGGTAAGTGGTGTTAAGCAGACTCTCCAGTGAGCCCTCAGTAACACAACTCAGCACTCGCCCAACTGCACCCACATTGGCTATGACGTTTGGTACCACGGCCACAGCCAGGCTGGCTACGCTGTAGGACAGTAGCAACCTGCGGCCTTGCTCAGAGCCCAGGGTAGGCACACTGAGTGCAAATAGGCAGCGGCTGGGGGGGTATCAGGCCCAGGCTCAGGAAGACCAGGAGACCACAGACAGTGGTCACCAGGGCAGGGGGCCCCTGAGGATAAAGCTGTGAAGAGACCAGCCAGTGATGAACCAGGACCGCAATGACACCGGCCAGGGAAGCACACAGGAGCAGCTGTGACAATAGTTCACTACAGCTGGCTGGGACAGGTCGGGAGAAGGCATTCCAGGCAGTCTGCAGGGGGACAAGTGCCTTGCAGATCCCCAAGCGCCAGAACTTCGACCTGGACACAAGGAAATAGGAGAGCCCTGCGTTAGGGGGGTGAGGGTGTCCTCTGCTGGTAGCCTGCTAGTAGACTCCACTCTTATAGTCACAGGGACAGGCACACTATCCAGACAGATCAATCAGAGGTATTCCATTCATGGGCGGGTGGGGGGGGTGTAACACAAACTGAACCAATCAGAGCCTTCCCAGGAAGTCTCTACAGAGTTGTCAGTCAACAGCCTGCTGTCTGCAGTGCTTTAGGATGTGGGGCTGGGTGTCTGGACTGAGGCCACAATTGCGGACTCTGAGAGCAGCAGGTAAACTGTGGAGGGAGAATGAGCGTGGCTGAAAGAGGGAATGTAGCAAGAGGAGAGAAGGAGGAGAGCTGATTTCTCCCCACTGTCTGTGTGGCTCACTGTTGGTTCCATTCATATTCTTTACAGATCTCCGTGTCCCCTCCATCATTTACAGACAGGGAGATGGCCCAGCCAGCCTCTCGGGGACATTTTCTCTTCAACCAGCCTTATATTAGTCATTGACCTAACATTTGTCTCTTTTTTATTTATTGTGTTTTATACATTCGTGCCTGCATGTCAGCATCACAATTCTCCACCTCAGTTTTTAATTACATTTTAATTTTGTGTGTGCTTGCTTGCACGCCTCTGTGTGTGTGTGAGTGTGTGTGTGTGTGCATGCAGGGGTGTGCTTGGGGGCATGTGTGCCCGTGGGGGGGTGTGGGTGCTCGCATGCCTCCATGTGTGTGTCTGTGTGCACATGAGTGCATGCACGTGTGTGGGGGGGCGTAGAAGTCAGAGTATAACTTGCAAGAGTCACAGGATGACTTACTTGGTGGTCTGCTTCTCCCCCTCCATCACGTGGGCTTTAATGATTGAACTTAGGTCTCCTGGCCTGGTATCAGGTGCTTTCCTGACTGAGATGTCTCAAAGGCCTGCATCACATGTTTTCTGAGGCAGGGTCTCTCACTGGCCCACTGCTCACCAATTTACCTACCGAGACCGGCTGGCCCGCAAGCCCCAGGGAGCTGTCTCCCCCTCCCCGGCGCTGGGATTGCAGGTGCATTCTCTCACGCCTGGCTTCTCCACGGGAGTTCTGGGCATTGAAATCAGGTCCTCGAGCTCGTGCAGCAGGCACTTTACTGAGTGAGCTGTCTCTCCAGCCCTCAGCGAATGTCTATTCAGCAATTGCTGCGAGCTCGGCGTTGAAGGGAAGCAGACGGACTCTGACCTCCTAGGGGCTCGCACTAGTGACAGCAGGAGGGAGGCTACACCACAGCTGGGGTCAGGGGTCAGTTATGAAGCATGGACACCTGGCTCATCACTGCTCTCTTTGCTGCAGATGACTGGATGGAGCTGGACATCCCCGGTCTCCAGGGCTGCATGCGGGATGTGCGCCCCCTACAGGTGCTTGTCACTGCTGCACACAGTCTTCGACACCTGTACCCCCTTCCTAGCCCCCCGAGGACAGTGAGGGATGGGACTATGCACTACTCTTCACACAGCATGATTAGTTTTGGAACAGGGAACTGAAATAATATCAAGGACCATAAGACCTGGAAGCCCCGTCGGGCGCACAGTCAGCCGGATATTCTCAGCGGCAGGGGGTGACATAGCTCTCGCTCTGAACCGCACCCTCTGCACACGCCCCTCATTCTGTTCCCACACAGCCTTACAGCCATTGCTATTATTTCCACTCTACCGGGAGGAAACTGAAGCTGGAAAGGTGAGGATTCACTGGCGGCCACAGCCGGCAAGGGGAAGACTTGAGACTGGAGTTCACGCCCGTTTCAAGGGGTTACTGACTTTTCTTGCCTGTGCCCCTTGTCCCAGCCCCCAAACCTACCCCAATCTGATGAGGTGTTCCATGGCTCCTCTGTTGCCCCTCATGGTCTTTGAGAGCTGTGTTCAGGCAGCTGCTGTGGCAGCCACGGCAGGTGGAGAGGAAGTGTGGGGACCGGAGAGTCCTGCAGCTTCTGCTTTCTTCCATTTAATCAAACCCTCCAGGGCGCCTCATCCTGCTCCTGTCAGAGGCCCACCTCTTGGGGGCTGGGCCAGCTGCCTCATCCTCTCCTGAAAGACAGTCAGGGGCAGCCAGGGGTGGGAGGAGAAGGGTAGGCGGAGATATAGTTTCCAAGCATTGCCTGTGATCCTGAGGGCAGGAAGGTAGAATTAGCCCATTTCACAGAAGAAGAAACTGAGGTTCAGAGAAACCATGCAGATCATTAACAGTTAACACTAGACTAAGAATTCCACCCTGCTTATCCGTCCCTTCTCCCACAGTTAAGCTCCCCAGAGGAATCCAAGCCCTGACTCTGGGGATGAAAACTCACAGAAGACCCACAGGGACCCCGGCTGAGACCACACTGTGCTTTTCTTAGCCACCATGTACAACCAGGCATAGACAATAATAAAAGTAGCCTGCATTGAAAACAGTGGGTGCTCAGTAGCTGCACATGTCCCTGTGGTGATTGCCCTGAAGACGATTCGAGAAGCCCATCCCCACCTAGCATGCAGAGACTTCTCCCCGGCATCAGTCCCCATCACTGTCTACATCAGGACTCTGTCCCCAAGAGGCCTCCTCCTTCATGGGATGCCCCTCCCCCTCGAAAAGGACACAGTTGACAGCCAGCTGCTTTCCCTTATAAGGACATCCTGCTGGACCATGGGCTAAGGCGTGATAAGGGGAAGTGACTTCACATAGGACATTCATTGAGGGAGACACCTGCAACCAGACCCTCAGAGGGCAGTGAGCCCCACCAGGAAGCCAGGAGCCTTCACAGGTACCCCACCCCCACCCCACCCCTTGCCTCTTTGGAAAACCCTGACACACAGTAGAGCCCAGAAGCAGCAGCCAATCCTCAGGTCTCATGGGGCTGCTACTCTCCCAGAGTTCACATCATGCTGCCTAGGTACCAGGTATCCCAATGGGACACTCACACTTTGGTGCAAAATGACCAAGGTTTTAAAGACAGCAAAGAAGGTAATAGGAAACGGGGAAGGCAGGAAGAAGGAGAGAGGGAGCAGACACACAGACACACAGACACACACACACAGTGACACTATTTTATTTTGCTGGCCAATCTTACAGGAGGATTGGGTCTTCTGCTGTCTAGGGGGCTGCAGGGAGCGCTTTAGCTGGCCTCTTTGAAGAGGTAGCAGATCTAAATGCAAGTGCAGGCTTTCACGTTACTGTGCTGTGTGAGCTTGAGCTAGACGCCGTTCCTCTCCGAAGTTCTCGTACAGCGTCCTCTGCTGTATAAGAAGAAAGCACCTATTCCATGGGTTTGGAAATACACACAAGTATTCAGCAGGCAGGACGTAAATGTCCATGCCATAAACCCTTCCCTCTGGGCTCTAGTCCTGCCTGAGTGGGATCTAGGCTGCTCAGACCTGACTGCTCAGGCCAGATGTTCTCCCTTCTCCCCACCCCATCCCACCCCCCAGCTTGGGTCTCATCAGGGTTTCCCACTGTATCCCATAAACCCTTGCCAGTCTTTGCCCAGCTCTGTAGCTGGTTAGTGAGGGAACAGCGGCTATTTGGGGAAGCCTCAGATGACTGAAGGAGAGCCGGAGCACAGGGGGAGCGAGGGGCAGGCGGTGTTTTGGGGTTCTTCTGGCAGATGTGCACAGTCACCTCTACTCAGGCAAGGCTGGCCTGGCCTCGAGGCCCACAGCATCCGGAGGGGCCTGAGTCACCAGAGGTCAACAAGGCTGGGCTGGGGGTGGGAATTTAATCTTGAAGGAATCAGAGCCACGAGACAAAGAGGAAGTAGGGAGTCTTCAGCCTTTCCCAGGGCCACTCAACTCACAGCCCCACAGTGTGTTGCGAACTTGTGCTTTTTAGTTTAGCGGTAAGACGGTGGCTGAGAATGCCCAGGTGGCTAAAACTTTGCCAGCAGGCTGTGGAGACAGCTCAGACTGTAAAGTATTTGCTGTGCAAACACGAGAACCTGAGTCCTAGCCCCGGATTCCGGTGGGGGGGGCAGCAGGGGTGGAGTGGAGAGCACTAATAGTCCAACTTGGGGAGGTTGGAACAGGATGGGTGGGTTTCCTGGAGCTTGCTGGCTGGCTAGCCTGGCTGAACTGTATCTCCAAGTTCAGTGTGGTCAGGGGACAGATGCTGAGGGCTGTCTCTGGCCTCTGGTTAGCTACAAGCATTCATACATACGTGAACGTGGACACACACATCTTACCATGGACAACCTAACAGAAACAGGGAGTGAGCCACCAGCAGAAGCCATAGAAGTTTCTTACTAATGGCATAAAAACTGAAAACCATTGTATTAAAACATGTGCACACGTGTGTGTGTGTGTGTGTGTGTGTGTGTGTGATGAGAGAGAGAGAGAGAGAGAGAGAGAGAGAGAGAGAGAGAGAGTTCAAGGACAATCTGAAGAGTTACTTCTCTCCTTCCACCATATGGGTCCGAGGGATTGAACTCAGGTCAGAAAGCGTGGCAGCAAGCTCCTTTACCTGCTAGGCCATTTTGCCTGCCCTGAAATCCATGTTCATACATTATTTGTTCCACTGAATGTATCCCAAATATGACTTTGCTTAGCATGTAAGAAATACACAAGAGCACGACTGGAAAATATATATTTATTTTTGCATCACTGCAAATACCCGAGGGGAGTCACTCACGCCGTGGCCTAAATGTTAGGTGGGCAAATGGTGACCACCTCTGTCCCTTCAGAAAGTGCTGTTGCCAGCGCTGTTCAGGGTAGCTAGAGCCAGGGATCACTGGGGTCACCTGAGACTGACCTTGAAGCTCAGACTGTGGGCTATGAGGTCATAGGTCTTCACAGGTCAGGAAGGAGAGTGAGTATAGGACAACAGGCAGAGGTAGGGCCCGGGGTGAGAGGGGCGTTTACGGTATAACCCTGTTGTGGAATAGAAGGTTCGTCTAAATATGTAAAGGCATGTTCCGTCTGTTTGTGTAGCAGAATATTTAACCAGGTAAGGATGTGCTGCATTTGTTTCACCTTGCCTGCCTAAGGTACCTGATTGATCTAATAAAAAGCTGAGCAGCCAATAGCTAAGCAGGGGGGAGGGGCTGGCAGACAGAGAGGATAAGGAGGAGGAGGAATCTAGGCGTGAGGGAGAACCAGGGAGAAAATGAGGGAGGCATCTGGAACCAGTCAGCCAGGCAGCCACCAGCCAACCAGACACGGAAGAAGAAGGAAAGTAGGACATACAGAATGAAAGACAAAAAACAAAACAAAACAAAACAAAAAAACCCCGAGGGAAAACATGGAAGAGGAGAAACATAAGTTGTAAGAGCTAGGGGAACAAGCTTAAGCTGAGGCTGAGCATTCATAATGAGTAATAACTCTCTGTGTCATGATTTGGGAGCAGGTGTTCCAAGAAAGCCTGCTATAAAGACCCCACACCAGCCACTCGGCTGCTGTTGCTATTTCATTTGTTTATATCTGGATCACACTATGTAGCCCAGGCTATCCTGACAAGCCTAACTCCTGCTCATCCTGCCTTAAGTCTCCCAAGCCCTCTAGGATGACAGGTGTTCACCACACCCAGCTTGGCCATTGTGTTTCCTAAGAGAGACAGAAACCCAGATTCACAGGTGTCACTGCTGACACTGAAGTTTGGTGACAGTGACTAACTGGAGGCAAGGAGGGAGAAGAAAGCCTTGGCAGGCACGGCCGTGGGGCTGGGGAGCACTTTGACAGGGTGAGCCGCGCACCATAACATGGAGTCTGCACCTTCCAGACCCCACTCCTCCTCCCCACCCTGCACCCGGGAGTGACCTGGAAAGGCCACACGGAAGGCTCTGTGTGTTCCGGTTTCTGTTGGTAGGGCATGTGGGATTGTATGTGCCAACTTGGCCAAGCCGTGTTACCATTGGTGGTTCAACATTATTCTGGATGTTTCTGTGAGGCTGGTTTTGACTAGCTTAACTTTTAGGTCAATGGACAGAGTAAAGACGATGGCCCTCAGGATAGGGGTGGACCTGGTCCAGTCAGTGAAGGGACAGCCTGAAAAGAAGAGGGGCCTGCGGCAGACGGCGGTCTTCCAATCCCAGCTGCCGCTCTTTCTCCACTCCAGCTTGCCAATCCCCAGGTCCCCATGCTGGCAGGTATGGGATTCACCCAGTCTCCACTGCGAGCCTACCCCTAAGACACATCTTCTTTCTCTTTTCCCTTCAGGGAGGTGTAGCAGCCATCGCCACCTGAGATTTCACCATTTTACAGTTTCTGTCAGCCACAGACCACAGCCCCCAACATTAAGTGAATCAGAACTGGAAATCTCAACTCCTGTTCTGAGCGCAGTTGCTCACCAAGGTCCATGCTGGACCTGGGAAGCCACCAGAGGAGGGGCCCCAGAGGGTCAGTGACTACTGGGATCATTCCAGCCCCAGGCGAGTTCTGTCACTCTGCCATCATGTTTGGCCAGCCCCCAGCAGTGCCACAGGGCCTTTGCTCGTGCTCTTGGGGGCCGCTGAGGTGCTGGAGCCTCCACAGAGCTCTGTCCAAAGGTAGAAGTGCAAGTAAGCAGATTGGTCCCAAGGCCACAGTGCGGGCGGGATGAGGGGGTGGGCGTTACTGGGCAGCTGCAGATGACAAACCAGGCTGGCATTGTCTTGTTTGTCCTTTCTGAGCTCTGGCACTCCTGGCAGGCTCCAGAGGAGCCCTAGTGTATTTCCTGTGGCCCAGTCTCCCCTGTTCCCACACCACCACAGTGAGCGCCTCTGTCAGTGTCCCGCCCTCCTTCCTGCCTCAGGTCTCTTGCTAGTCAGTGAAGGGGACCAATGACACCCTGGGGACCAGTGCTGGGAGAGATGAAGACAGCTGCCACCGGAAGGGACAGAAGTTGGACATTCAAGACCCAGTCGACAGCCCAGAACCTGAGGTCATTGTCCCATGCTGCTCCTCCTCCTCCAGACTGCCCACCACCCCCATGTTTTCCTTCCAACAGAGCTGTGAGTGTCCAGCCATTGTGTCCAACTTCAACCCAATGTCAGCTTCTCAGAGGAGCCCACCTGAAACCCACAGCCCGAGCTGGCTCATCATGCGGTCATTTAAGTGGCGACTGTCGTTGTTGTACCTACTGGTCCACTCTGTTCTTCCTGCTACATTGGAACCACGTCACAGGCCGAGTTGCCTGCTGAATGGACCAAGGTGAGGAGCGAAGAAAGAATGGGGGGCACTTTCAAACCTGCAGTCGGGCTACTGAGCATTGGCTACGTGCCAGAGCCTGGTCCAGACGTCTGAGCTACACCAGAGAGTCAGAGAATGGCTTTTGCTGTTTCTACTGTACAACGTGAGGAGGGGGATAAACAAGGAAATAAATGAGCTGGGTGGCGGCGGCTCACGTCCAGAACTCCAGGAGGCGGAGGCAGGTGGATCTCTGGGTTAGAGGAAAGCTATCCGGTCTACAGAGTGAGTTCCAGGACAGCCAGGGCTGTTACACACAG